ACTAGTAGAAGCATTTCTGTAAAGAAGCATTTCAAAAGGCTTATGTGTGTCGGAACTGGTGACTGCCATTCTACATACTTACCTACTTATATCCTTTTTTGACACAATCGTGATTAAATCACTGATTATCATTTTATTTGACTGTGCTAAAATATCAGTTCAATGATATAGTTTTTATATTGTAATATTATAATAATAATAATAATTGATAATTTTTTTATTACAAATGCAAAAAAATTAATCAATATTTAATATAACAAAAATATATCTCATCAATTCCTTCCATAAAACATAAATTTGTAACTGTGATGAAGGACAGAATTTTCCATTCTTTTAACAGATTGCAGGTCACGATCAGACATACCAAACGGAAATTTTGAAATTGATATGCAAAATCAGTTATTAGGCAACCAATCGTCCTTAAAAATATAAACAAAGAGAAAAATAAAATATCTTGATTATGAGAAAAAACAAAGTTCCCAGCATTACAACAAATGAAGTCAACAATCGTTCCGCATTTTGTCACATAAACCACTGACTACTGCAATCTCGCACAAAATCAACAAAACCGCCACGAAAAACTGTTGCAAAATCGTCCGGAGTAGCCAAAATTAAATCGACAGCAGCAACTGTTAAAAGCTCAGATGCCGATATTCAGATGTCGAGCTGGCGATACGTCTCCGATTGGAACATGAGCATCCGTTCGATGTAAATAGCACCCATATTGCGGTATCTTATTAGCTAAATGTTAGCTGTAGTTACTGCATTTCCTGTACTTTTATACGCGCATCTGAGCGTTTGTATCTGCCTCTTGTTTGTCGAACGATATGCAAATAATGCAGTTCAGGTTGGAAAGGTGCTTTTCTTGGAAGATACTTTTACTGAGGGTAGATAAAACGCATAATTTATTTCAGAAAAATTAATTCATGCTTTCGATAAATTTACAAAATTAAGTTGTGTTAATAAATATGACAAATTTACACCCACAAAAGTGTTTTTATGTTCTCATAAATTGTTTCCAAAGCAGTGCGCAGCCCTTGTTGGGAGCTTATTTATTTGCTCATAAAGTGCTTTGAAGTCAATAACCTTGTGCATTGCTTTGATATGCTGCTATTTAATTCTTCATATATTCTTTAATCAAAAAGTATCTTACGTTGTTTTCATAAAACAGTTTTATAACGAAATAATACAATTTGTGCTCATATTCTCCACCAGAACGTGGTCTTGTAATATTTTTTGAATTGCAAAATCTCACTCGAAATCAATAAAAATGCAATTTTATGCATTCTGCACCGAAAATACTTCTGTAAAATATTTATGCGATACTGGCTTTTAACATGTTTTCAAATTCATAAAAGATAGAATTGCATACATAATAATTTTTTATTGTTTATTTGAATAAAAGAGTATATATTTGTATAAAATTAAAAAATCTCTTATTTTATTCATTGTAGGAAATGTAATTTGTTGTGTATATAACATAATAGTATATTATGATATGTTATTTTGTTATAATATAATAACATAACATCAATTTTAAGTATATATTTTATTAAATTGATTTTTCTGAAACTAAATTCTTAATATAAACTATTGTTTTCAACAGTGGCGTCGCTAGGCGTCAGCGATGTCGGCGACCGCCGACGACCTCACGCCACGTGGGGCCTCGCAAAAAGTTACCGGCTGTGGATTATAAGCACTTAATAAATATTTTGAACAATTTGGTTTGATAATGGCATTAACCATATTCGAAGTATTCCCAAATACTTTTATAGTAACCAGATTCATGTTCACAGTTCCAGTCAGTGTAACTTCGACGGAAAGAAGCTTCTCAAAGTTAAAATTGATTAAGACGTACTAAAAAAGTATTATGATCCAAGAGAGACTATCTCCATTGGAAATTCTATAGACTGAAGCAAAAATAGCAGCTGGCGCAAATTATGATATAATTTAAAAAAAAATTGAGTGAGGCTCAAAGTAGGAAAATTGATTTATTTTAATTTGTGTTTATTTTAATTTGTGTATATTAATTTGATTAACAATAAAACTGGGTTATAAAGGGGGCCTCGCAATTCTGATGTCGCCGTCGTGCAAAGTTGGTCTAGCTCCGCCACTGGTTTTCAATAGAGAGGTCTAAAGAACACTAGAATATTACAACAAAAAAAACTATTACCTATCTATTAAGATAATTTTTTAATAGAATATTTTTACAGATTTTTACCATATATATTTTATGTATAAACAAATATATATAATATTTCCTTACTCTGTAAGTCCGTAGGATAATTAATTTTGAATAACAACTTTTACACAAAAATCAACTATATACATCAATATTGTGTTTCTCAACGATTATACTTTCATTTTTCAGTTTCTTTAAATTATTTCTGAATAAAAGAAGTCTAAAATAACACAAAACTGAAGACAATTTTAAAAAATTATTTTATTAAAATAGTTTTCAGTAACGATTGAAAACATTTTTTATGATACCTTACTTCCCCTTTTAGATCCGCAAACACAGTAGTGAATAGATAAACAGATAGATTTCCAGCTTCGGAGAGTACGGTGAATGGTGTTCAGTATTCACACTGTGACTTGTGAAACATTTACGTAGTGAAAGACTAAGGTAGTATTAAGGTAAATTCGCTTTTTACAGTATTTGAACGACTATAAACAAACCACTTAGCTAGCAGCTTCCCCATAAG